ACATTCCAAGTAAATATTTGTTCTTCAATTGGCATAATAGGCTTTTGTCCTTGTATCAATTTTGTTGGCATATATCCAACCTTTGAACTATGAGTAGTTCAGTCAGTATATAGAAAAAATGGTAATAATCTTGGCCATTCTTTTGTACTTCCTTTGTAGGCTTTAACAATCCCTTTAACTATTACAGGATGACCTCGTTCACTTTTAGCTGTTGTAAGTGCAACCTTAATTCTACATCTTTCAAAAAAAATTCTTGCTTCATGTGCATCTAATTCTCCATGATCACTAATAATCTTTTCAATACATCTGTATCTACAAACCACATCTTTCAATAGAAATCTATAAATCCCTTTAGTAGATTTTGTTTGTAGAACTCTCCTTTCTACTTGATTAGATAAATCTTCTTGTGCCAAAATCAAGTACCGCAATTGTCATATTTTCATAGGCATAGTAATTAGATCTACAATCTATTTATAATGTATTATAAGAAGATATGTGGGATGCAACTCATCTCTAGGTTGAATCTCCAAATGCATTTGACTAATTTGGCATAATTCTACAAATTTTACGACATTTCTATACATATTACACCACCAATATCTTTCTTTAAGGTTGTTAAAAGTGACATAAATACCTATGTTACTCACCCACAAACTATCATGAAATTTCCAAATCAATTGTCCATGCATTTTTTTTCTCGCAAATCACTCTTTGTGATATATCACTATCCATTTTGCACTACTTCTACAAGTAATCACCTTGTAAAAGGTCGTTATAAGCTTACTGTCTAATCTGCTTAAAATAAATATCATTCTACTATAGTTGCTTTGATAATGTACTCAAGTAGTGTCAAATATCTATCTATTCTTCTTCATATAATTCTTCCATAAATATTTTTAGATATTCATTCTCTCCTTGATGTATTCTAAAATAGAAGGTAGTACCTATATCTTTAGTATCATCAATCAAATCTTCTTCTTATTCATATCTAGCCTAGGATAGCATATCTGCCACTAGATTATTTTTGCTTGCTATGTGCTTGAATTCAAGATTCAAGGATTTGATGTATGCAATCCATCTTAGCATGGCAATATTAAGGATATTATAATTGGTGATCATTCCTAGTAGTAACAAACAATCTGTTTCGACTATCACTAGTACTCTAATTAAATAACCTCTTTCAATCTTCATAGTTGTAACTATTCTCCACGACTCCTATTTTACTTCTAGATAGTTTTTGTCATTCACTTAATACTTTGGCTCCAAATCTTACAACAAATATTTTTCCTTCCTCATCATCTTTTGTTAAAAGTCCAATCAATAGCTATTGGACTTGTATCTATAGTAAGTATTATAACTTTGTCACCTTCATAACTTATCTTTTGTAGTTTATTGTGGAGACTAGACTACAAGGCCGAATTAAAAGACAAGGCAAAAATCGCTACTATTAGTAGTGTCATTTCAAACCTAATCAAAGAAGCATAATAGAAGGAAGCTACACATTAGAATGTTTACTTTAAGATGGTTAGCAATCGGCTAAAGGAAGACAATATACAGTATGAAGATTATAGTCTTAGTAATGGCTTGCTCTATTTCAAGAAGCAAATTTATGTACTTGACAATGCTATACTCTAGATGCGCATATTTGAAGAAGGACATGACATCCTAATATCTGGACATCTAAGGCAAGAGAAGATTGTAGAATGGATCTCAAGGACATGGTTTTGAGTAAGTTTGATTTGAGATGTTTGAGCTTTTGTGCACTTCTACAAGCCATGTCAATGTAATAAAGCACGCAATGTAGCATCTTTTAAACTATTACAGTTAATTTCTCTCCCTATAGTACGTTGGAAGCAGATGTCTATAGATCTCATTATGTATATGCCGTAGACACCTCATAATCACATTGCGGTTGCCATCTTTGTGAATTGATTCTTAAAACAACTTCACTTGGCTACAATGTGCTTAGATATTGATGCCCCAATGCTTACACAGATGTTTTTTAATATTATCTTTCATTGCTATAGATTATCTTATATCATTGTTTCAAATCGAGATCTATGCTTCAAAAGAAGTTTTTGACAAGTTTTATTCAAGCTACTAGATGCACGACTTGCCATGTATATAATCTTCTATCTCCAAATATATGGACAAACAGAGCGTGCAAAACACATTTTGGAAGATATGCTGCACGCATTTGTGGTAGTTCATCATAATGATTGAGATGAATACTTGATGTCTTTGGAGTTTGTTGACAATGATAGTATTCAAGCAAGTATCAATCATTCACCATTTTTCTTTAATACAAGTCAGCATCCAACTATGTTAGTGACTCTCTATCGTTTTGTCAACACCAACAACCCGACAACAAAAGAATTTACACAACAACTTACAATAGCCTTACAAGAGACATGGCATCGCCTCTTTATTGCACAAAATTGACAATTGAAAAGTAATATGTAGATAACCATTGGCAATACAAGATCTTCCAAGAAGGTGATCAAGTATTACTCTTCAATGCCAATTTGCCACTTGCTACATTAATCCAAATATGTAAACTAGTACCTCAATGGCTTGAACCTTTTTGCATTTCTGAGGTGATTTTTGATGTTGCATTCTACCTCAAGCTTCTGCCACATATTCAAACCCATCCAATCTTCCATGTTTTGCAACTGAAAGAATTTCATGCCAAACCAAAGTACTTTTTGGATCAACACCAACTACTACCACTACCAATTGAAGTTGATAACCAATAAGAATATGGAGTGGACAGCATTTTGGAGCATTGCTATCTTTGCCATGGCAATGGACATCTATAATTTTAATACAAAGTTCTTTAGAAAGGTTATTCCATCTACAATGCAATGTGGAAACCTATACAAAACCTCACTCATTGCCAAGAGACAATTTTGAGATACCATTAAGAGTAAAACGAGGAAATTTTGCATTAGTAGAAAGAAATTAACTATAATAAGGTATAGACAAGATAATTATATTATTCACACATAAGAATAGATAGTTGAAAATACGGAAGTTTCTAGAATTAGAACTAAATTAATTGACTATGTAGGATTTGCGGAATAATAGTCTAAAAAGAGTTTAAGGCAGTTATATAAATAAGGCCTACCATAGAATCTTCTAGAAAATATATAAAGCAATTATCTAGATAGAGCCTACCATAGAACCTTCTAAAAAGAATTTAGGACAATTACTTAAGTAGGATCAATCATCTACAAACATTTTAGAAAGTCCAGAGTCATAAAACAAAGTATAAATAGGACTAGCCATGGTTTTTTGGACATCTAGTCAAGTATGGCTTTGGACCTTTTCTCTAAGTAAAGTTTGGTTTTGCATCTTCATTTTCAGTTCTGTTCTATTCTATTTTTGTTTGCTCAGATTTGTCTTTTGTATCCTATTCTGTTGACTTCTATTTAGTTTTGGTTCTGGTCTATTTTATCTTACTTTGTAATTTGGCTTTAAGTTGTTGTGGATTAGAAGGGTCTAAGATTTTGAAGATAGATCAGTCCTGTTTCAGCAAGGGTCTTAAAAAAAGTAATTTGAAGTAATGGCAGAGTAGCATGTAAAATTGAGAAGCTCAAATGACGAGATGTTTGAAGTAAATGAGATAGTAGTTGAAGCACTTGGCAAGCAAATGCAAAGATTTGACTTATAGGTAATGAAAAACATAATAAAAGATATGGACAAAGATATGATGATCTTGTTGCCAAATATGTCGAGTATAAAGCAACTACGAAAGAAATTTAAGATACAATTCAAAAGATCATATAACCATTGAGTTTAAGAGATAGAACATGAAGGAAAAACAAGCTATGATTTCACCATTTATTATACAATATAACTAACATAAATTGTTCCATTGATATACATATACTTTTTCTTTTTTTCTTTTTTTCTTTTTTTCTTTGGTCAATATTTCTTTAGGAGTGATCAATTTATGACTTACCAACCACAAATTAAACTTTCATAGCTTTTTTGTGGCTATCAATATGGGTTTCTTTTATATATATATATATATATATATATGATTAGTTAGTTAGTAGTAACCAGTGTATTGAATGTGAAGAATAGAAGAATTTAATTAATTTTTTTTTTCTTCTTCTTATTGGGAGAAATCTGATTCTTTACTCTTTGGTCAAAAACATCCTCCTTGATGTGTTTGTAGTATATTCCAAGCATTTATTTCTTTCTTTCTTTCTTTTCAATGTGTATTCTCCTTTGCTCTACAGCCCAAGCCTAATATTGCAATACTTAATAACCCTACATCTTCAAAGCAATACCTTAAGTGTACACCCTTAGTCTCCACATCTTATAACCTCATCCCTAAACCCTGATACTAATAATCAGCACATGCTTAGTCAAATCACAGTCACACGTGGCACAGAGGATCTTCCACCACGTAGGATCTTAAAAGCGCCACGTCAGATGGCAATGCTGCGTGGAGGGGAGAAAAAGGACCCCACGGTCGAAGTGGCGGGACACTTGGCGTGCGAATGCAAAGATTCGCGACCACGTGGCGATCGCGACGTGGTGTCAACGTCGCGCAAATCCGGAGCCCCGCCCTCACCATGCCGTACAGGCGCGCCTACTTCGTCACGGAGCGATGGCGACGACGATAACGACACTGGGGAAAAAGGGCGGGGAAGGGAAGGATCGAGCGAGGGGGATATTTACCGCGCCACGCAATCCCACCCTTCCCGCTTTGTTAAGATCCTGCTGCTGGCTTTAATGCGGTTTTGGTTTTGGGCATGGTTTTGGTTTGTTGCCGATTTCCTGCAACCGGAGGGGAGGCTAGTGCTGACGACGCCACCATTCATTACCTCCACCGAGTTTGCGCCAAGTGGCCATCGCGTTCCAAGACGCGCCACCTGCACCACCCACCCCCTTCCCTCGCCATTCGCGGCCTGCACTGCACGTTGTTTTGGCCCCTCTGGCTTCATTTTCTGCTTTCTTGCGAAGGTTTTATGTGATGCGAGGTTAGTTTCGCCAATTTGGAGCAGCTGATGCTTTCAGTTGTGAATCATTTGTTCGCGCCGCTGGTTTCGTTTTTATTTTATTTTCCTCTTATTTTTAATGTTTCTTTTTGTAAGTTTTCTTTTTTTCTTTTTTTTTGAGGTTTTTTCAGCGTCCGTGGCTCGAAGAGTAGATTAAGTTTACAATCCGTGAGCTCGAGTCTTTGAGAATGCACTGATTAGTTGAGGATGCGTGCAATGCATCTGCGCCATTGCATTGCTGTTTTCAGTTTTGATTTCTAGTTTTGGTGGTTGTGAAAGAGGGGATGTTTGGTTATGCGGGGGCTTGACTTTGCTAGATCAAAATTGGAAGGACAGTAAGACCTTTTGAGTTAGGTATGATTTGGTGCAAAATGGAAGCTATGACCTTTTCTGGACTTTGGTTTCACTGCTGAGTCGTTACTTGTGGAGTTTCAAAGTTGATATTGTGATTGAATGCTTCGGCTGCTCATTGACCGTTTTCTTGGATCACACATTCCGATTGGGCATGGAATTTGACGGTTTCATTCACCATCCTGGCGTTCTTGGTCGTTTTGTAGATTAACCACAACCAAATGGCGCAACCATATAGCACATCCTATGAAGCCGACGAAGGCCTAAGGCGCAGAACTGCGGGACAGGGAGAGATTGACTACGGCACCACTCCCGTGGTCGGCAGAGTAGCCGGACGTTACGAGGGGTACGACACAGCTCCTATTAGGAGGCAATACGATGAATCCAAATCTACTACATCAACGTCTGCACCACCTGCAGAACAGTACCGGAAGAATCCGAACACGGAAAATGAGCGGTTGGCAGATGAATCCGCGAGAAGGGAAGATGACGACTCCAAAACTAGCAATTCTGGCAGCATGGGCGTTGTCGGTATGCTGAAAAATCCTCGTAATCGAATGTATCTCGCTACCTTGGTTGCAGCCACGCCGTTCATGATCTCTTTCACTTTTTATGTGAGCCAATTCTCCTTCTTCGGACAGTTCGTGATCGGCATTTGCTGCGGTTTATGTCTACAAGGAGTGTACATGTTGTACAGTTTGCACCGGAAGCATCAACGCAAGCGCAAGGTACGCAGATATTTTCGAATTAATCACTTGGCCGAATAACATTCATTCTGTATACCTTGGCAATGGATTACCAATTCATGACGGATGAATGACAATGATTTTGCAGACTCTGCAAGTAGCGCAAATGGCGATTCTGGAGGAGAACCAGCTCAAAATTCTTTTACCCACGCAGGAGGCTTTCCCCCGATGGATCTCCTTCACCGACTTTGAAAAGGTAACCATTCGTGCACTACAAATTCCTCTGTGTTGGTAACTTATCCGATAATAGGAGTTTCAGAGCCACACATAATATCCGTCCTGCAAGATTATTATTATAATGAACCGTCGAAGTCAGGTGTGTGAAATATGATAGAGATCTGAATGTCATTGAATAATTAGTCCATTGTAGGTTTGTTTCTCGTTACCAACCTGAAACTCAACTTTAAATGTACGAGAACTTCTAAAATGTGGGAGGGAAGATTATAGAATTTGTTGGAGGATTTTGCTTTGATGTATGCACACTTAATTAATCATCCATGGTTGATGGGACAACAGGTGGAATGGCTGAACGACACTTTGACCAAGTTATGGCCGTATATTGATCAGGTTTGTGCAAGATTAATTCTGCAGCATGACCCTGGGTTATTTTTAGTGTGAAAATATTCTCTTCTTGCTTCAGTTGTATGCAACAGGATCTGCTTGTTATGAACTAGTATTTTTCCGAATTCGCCACTTAATTTTTCCGATCAGTTAAACCCGTTACTCTGTATTGTGTCGCTTGCTTACCACAGGCAGCTTCAAGCCTGATCAAAGAGAAGGTTCAGCCTATTTTGGACCAATATGCTATGGGAATCATTCAGAAGCTCGAGCTCAAGCAGGTTGCATTCGGCAACAAAGCTCCGCAAGTTACAGGTGCTGCCATGCTTTTCTATTCTTTACACAAGCTTTAGCTGTCTGTATTGAGAAAAGCACTTGCACTTTATTTGCTTTGTAAGATGAAACTGCTATCCAATTAGAGATGTGGTTGTACATATTATGCGCAGCCGTTGTAATTCATCTCCGTATTCAGTACTTACTGGTTAGCTATACTGTTTAACTGGAATGATGTAGGAGTCAGGCTCTCGGAAGGTTTGGAAGACGAGACTGTCTTGGAGATCAAGATCCTCTGGGAGACCTCTCAAGAGGGTGTGGTCCTGTCTGTTGATTTCCCCGGTCCAAACTACACAGTGAAGGTTTGATCCGCAATGTCTTGAGCATTTTGTGTTTGAGATGGCCTGAGGTGACCGATTCTTGGAAATGCTAGTGAGAAACAACTTGATTCTTTTACAAAACTTATCGATGTAAAGCAGCAAGACTCTACTGTAGAATCGCCATAACTTGCTCGATTTAGTTAAATTATATTCAATATAAATGGTGTGCAGCTCAAGAACTGGTTTCTGGAAGGAACTGCGAAGCTTATATTCAAGCCCTTGACAGGCACCATTCCTGGATTTGGAGCCGTCTTAGTGTCACTAACGGAGCCAGTAAGACTTCACAGTTCAATTCTCCATTCGATGGTTGTTATAATTAACCTAGTTATAATTTGCATAATGTTAAAGGAATTTATTACAGAGTAGATGGCGGTTGATTTTTGGCTTTTAATTTTATATCGTCATCTAAGCAGCCAGAGTTCGACTTCGATTTGAAATTCCTGGGTGGAGATGTTGGAATGGTTCCAGGAGTGGAGAAGATGATTGACGTGAGTCCTCGCACTTCAAGCTCATGTTTAGCAGACATATTGTTTTTTGAGCCTTCTTTGAAAAGAAACAATCTTTAATACATGTAAATATGTCCCCAGTTATGATAGATACATTTACTTGCGGCGCTCTGAACTTGTTTGGTTTTATGTCTTTCATACAGAACTCTATCAGGACAGCTTTGATGGACTCTCTGGTATGGCCAAGTCGCATTGTGGTTCCTATGATCCCCGGTGGTGATTTCAGGTATATGTCAAATTACTTTTACAATTTATATTCATGTATCCATCCTCGTCTGAATAATTTTGTTGAATTTTCTGTTGCGATGAGTGACTTCTCAGCATGTCGGAGCTTTCATCATCAATTTGATTTCTGAATTGGGTGTTGCAGTTTCTTGGAGCTTCATCCAGTTGGGGAACTGGAAGTGAAATTGATCGAAGCTAAGAACATCAAGAACACCGACCTCATTGGCAAGGCAGATCCATTTGTAACCTTGTTTGTGCGCCAAACAAAGGACAAAGTGAAGCGCAGTACATCCAAGAGTAATACGCTACGCCCTGTCTGGAATGAGGACTTCAAGATAGAGGTAAAAAAATTTGGAAAAGAAAATTCCAAAAAACAATCAATTCCTCCTTGTGTTACTTCCCTGTGGCACTCATGATCTCATACACGCTCGAAGCGTCTTCTCGGTTTTCTCAGAACTTTACCTTCGAGATGTTATCTTCCTCTTGTTTAATAGTCTAGCATTTAACAAATCATCACAACTAAAATTGATCGTGAATCTGAAGTGCTGCTCTTATTGCGACTTTAAAAGGTGGAAGACCCAGAATCTCAGGCCTTGACACTGCGGCTCATGGACGATGAAAGTGTTCAGAAGTCGGAGTACATTGGAACCGTTCAGTTAGCCATCAAGGAGGTGAGATTACGCTGACCACTGCTCATCACCTAGACTTTCAAACCTCATTGAAAGACCTTTTTTTTTTTTTTTTTTTTTTTTTTTTGTAGTCCCATAGTTGTGATGATCGCTTTGCGTAACCACCATCCGTCCGTGGCTCCTGCAGTTCGAGCCACACGTGAAGAAAGAGTTGTGGTGCGACGTCTTGGAGGACCCCGAGTCTCATGCGACGGACCAGATCCGGGGCAGTATCCACGTTATTGTGACCTACATCCCGTACACACGAGAGCAGGTTGAAGCGAAGCGCGGGTTCAACGAGACAGAGAAGAAGATCTACGAGGAGCACCGGCTCATTGCGGAGCAGATCAATCGCCCTCACAAGACCACCGGCGACGCCCCGAAGCAGCAAGGTAACATCACCCAGCACCCAGAGGAGCAACCGAGGCAGCCTGGCCCAGCAGCGGAGCTCTGATTTGTTTGAATTTTCCTATTGAAATCCTGCTGGCTGAAACTGCCCAAGCCTGGACAATAATACATACTAATAGTCCAGAGTTTGGCTCTACATCATCATGTAATTACTGTCGATTTTGTGAACTTGTTTTTATGGAAAGTGAAGATTGTTCAATAACTTGAACTTTGTTTCGAGGTCCGGATATTGAATTGGTTGGTTGAAATTATTTGCTCCAGCTTTTTCATGAAACTGCGTTGTCACAAACGTGTGAGTTTATTTTTGAAGAAGTAACCAAAAAAAGAAATAATATGTATGAGACTAGAACCAATTTTAATAACTCATGTTAAATCTCTCCACGACCTTAGCCGTAGATATCAACTTGAAAAAAAGGAGTGATACAATCGACCAGTCGTTAACCTACGAACCAACGGTTTTACCGAAATACGTGTTAAACAACTTTACCGACACATTCATTCACTGGTACCGATGTCCAAATAAAAACCCAAATGAAACCCAAAGTCCACAAGGACTGCAAAATTAAGGTGAACTTAGCCTGACATCATGAAAGTATTAGGATTTATTAAAGGAATATAAATACTCAACACAATCAATTCAAGGAGAAAGGTACGAAGACAGACATGCCTCCGCTATTGATTCTACACAGTGACACTACGGCAACTACGGATGTGAAAGCAATACAACAGCAAGAAGAAATGAAATGGTACTGGAAGCTCTACTATTGAGAAAGTAGTTGAAAGATACTCCATTAAACCAACCTTCGTGGTAACTTTGGATGGTTGAAGCCATTGTCATGTTTCAATGATCTGTGTGCAGGCTCCCACATCTGAGTACAGGGATAACGCAATCAACCCTGTTTTATATATAATCTTTGAACTGACTGATGCCACGGTTTTTGTTGGTTTTGTAAGCATCGTTGGAGACTTGCGATGAGCTCTTGTTCCTATTCACTGCTTAAGTTTCGACATCTATTTCAATTTCCTTTCATATTAATTTGACAATTGAGCTTAGGAGGAGACAACAGGACGCTATGGCATCCTCATCGTGAGAGATAGATGCGTTTCTTGCCTCTCTGCCCCTTTACAAGCCCATGTTCACGATCAGAATAGGGATGAGAGTGTGTATTGTGAAGCTCCGTGGGCAGATTTGAATTCATGGAAATAAAACAGATGTGCCCTCTGTTATATTACAATATGCAACACCGATGAGGCATTATGGAAAGATTCCAGCTTGCATGTCTTAATGTCTTCTAATTTTGGTCTACACTGCCAGTTCGTTGAAGTAATGTCGATGTAAAGGATAACTTAAAAGACTTTTTTCACATTCTATGGGCGATGCTACAACTTTCACAAAAATCTGCAAGATCTCAAAATCCAACAAGATAGCGATTTTGAATGATATGCGAAAGCCTGTTTATTTGTTAGGTTACACTACAATCCCCACAAGCATCATTACTCATCCAGGTGGATGTGAACCGCAATGGTGACCATCTGAAGCAGAGCAAGAGATCACAATGAGCGTAATGATCTATGGTCTCTGACCTAAATGTCTATGCACATGGACGACAAATATATATTAAAATAAAATAAAATTATATGTATATATATATATATATATATATATACATGCATGTATATATATTTGTGTGTGTTGAGCTGGAATCTAAATTACAATGTCATCTGCGTTGCAATCCAACACTTCCACCCTTGGCCATGACATATCGTAACGTCAGAATCTCCCACTTCTGGCATGGTATTGAGTGAGGGTTGCGAAGTGCAGCAAACTAAAGAAAGAGTAAAGTCTTCTTCGTCAGGAGATCGGCAATCTGCTGACGGGAAGGAACGTAGAGTAGCTTGAACCCACCAAGAGTTTCTATCTCTCAAACTGCATGGTATTGCACATCAATGTGTAGGGTGTGTTGATGCTGCACATCACTCTAAGACAAAGCGGTTGTCAGATTGACTCACTGTCGGAGAAGATTTTGGTCGGTGTTGGCTACGGATAGCCAATATCCGACCGAAGACAACAACTGTAAATAGTCTCTTCCATTGCCATCCAAGCAGCAAGGTACTCGGCAAGCATCAATGGTGGAGGTGGCAGTACAAGCTTACTCACGGCACGCCCATGAAATTGGGCATCCATTATGCATTAGGACTAACCTGTACGAGACTTACGGTCACTGCAATCGACAGCATAATCAGCATCACAACATCCACAATGGCGGTTGTTCTTCACCAATTAAAGACAGCGAATACCAAGATTTTTGGTACTCTTCGCGTTACGGAAAATCTTCTTGACTGCCGTGCATTAAGAACGAGTTGGCGCGCTTTAACATGAAACACTAGCATTCATCCCAACAAAAGCAACGTCGCTAGGTGAACCTGCAGCAACAAACTGTAAACCGCGGACGGCTTTTCCATTTGCAGAAAGCAGGATTTGTCTTCAACTGAAAGAATCAGATGGGTATTGGTCGGATTGTTAACGAGGATCCTGAGAGTGTGAAAATCCCTCAACACGCGCAATAAGTAATACTTCCGATCAATGAAAACGGTACGATTGTGACAATGGTCTGAGCTGCGCGCGTCCGACCTGGTGTGTCAGAAGTGTGGTCGGCGTTAACAAACACATCACCCGTTGCAGTCGTGATCTGTTCGACTCGCGCGGGGCAGTTGCGGAGGCGATATCGGCGTGGTCCACGAAGCAATTGACAACACTAAGTCCATTGTATCGAGCGGGATCAAAGTCGAACTGAAACTGAGAGAGAGGAGGTTACTGCGAGCCAGTCGGAAACCATGGCGGCGACGAGATCCTAATAATATGAAGGTGGTGCTCGCATTCAATGAAGCCCGCTATTCGATCGTGCATTGATCGGGCTTGGTCGTCGAGTCCAAGCGTGTCTAGATCTTCAACATCCGCCGCCGCGGAACCGAATCGCGGCGCAGATACTTTCGATGGGAAGTGTCGGTGCGGAGGAATCGATGCACGAGGCCATGACTAAGTCACCACTGGTAAGAGCCAATTAGTTGTCTTTATATTCAAATTTGTTGTGGACGAAGGTTTTATGGTCCACCACTTTGTGTGTCAAAAATAATTAAAACAAATTAAAATAAAATGATTTTAGTGTATATAGGGTGTTTGGTACTGCCACCACAACTTACCAATTTTTTTGTTATGTTTTTTATTTTTTTATTTTTTTATTTTTTAAATGCAATAAAATATAATTGTGCATATTTTCAACATTTTTTTTCTTCAAATTCTACAGAATAAATAATTGGAATGCTATTATAAAAAATAAAATAAAATAAAATAAAATAAAAAACTTTAAGAAATATGTGAAGTGGGTGGTGGGTTGTGGGTTGTGGGGGCACCAACAATATTAACAATAAATATTTATTCATAAGTAAATAAATAATATTTTTCAATAATCATATTCAAATACAAAATAAAAATAAAAACTTACAAGTTTGTTTTGATAAAATAAAATTTATGTATAATTTTTTTTAAAAATAAATCCACAATGATTTTATTTATTTCTTCCAAAATAAGTTTATGAATTTAAGAAGATTTCAGGGTACACTAGTATTCCTATTTTTTTAATTATTTGATAACCTTTGGATAAATAAATAGAATGCATCCTATATACTTTAACACCCTTTATATAATGAACATCTCTTTGACAACTACTTGTTAATGCATGCAAACACTCTTTCTTAATGCATCCAAAGTTTTATTTTACTAAATGCATAATATAATGTGCTTAGTAATAGTCATGTGGCCTAATGTTGTGCAGGTTCAAAGTATCATATTTTCATCAAACACATGGTTCATATCATCTTATTCAGTCTTGGTATAGATGAAGTTTCTTTTCTATTGAATGGTTAAAAATTTAGTTGCATGGCAAGTTTTGACTTCACAAGGTGTGTATCTTGTGAATGACAAATGCCATTAACATGGGCTCATGACCATGTACAATAAATTTTGTTAGCTTCACAATTAATTCAATAGAAAAAATTAGAAACACTTGTAGGGCCCTTCTTAGTATTGTGACTTAATAAACTCACGGATGGTAGTATCTTTCTTTATGAAGGTTTCATTAAATATAAAATATTCTTTGCTAATAAACTTGATCTCAGAATAAAACGATTCTGAAGTGTTTGTGCAATGTAAAGTATACCTGCAAAATGCAGGTGATTGATTATACATATGTACACACACACACACACAAAGATATATGTGTTAAATCTTTGACCAAATTATATTAGATAGTTATGTTATTTGTACTGATTTACTTGATTTTATATTTAACTTTGTCAGGCATTGGAAGTTTTCAACAATGGTGTCCAATGAGATAACATGATCTATTTTGAGATTTAGGACATGTATGATGTGTTTTTACAGGTGATTAACTCTATTTTTGGATTAAAGATGTTGGGAATAAATATGAATTGAACTAAAAATATTATTTAATTGATTTAATCTAATTGCTTCCAGTAATGAGAAATATATTGAATGAAAAAGAAAAGGGAGATAGAGAGTATTACAATTTGTAGAATATGGTCGAAAGATCCAAAAAATGGTATAAATCAAGTTAGTTTCTACACTCACTTTGAAGTGTAGTCTATTAATAGATATTTAATTAGAAGCAATAAAGGTACTATTTTTCATTGTTACTAAAATGAGGCCAACACTTCTAAATCTCACTAGGAAAAAAATATGGTTTTGATGATTTTTAGATGTTGCTTTGAACAGAGACTATCGGTATTTTTTTTTCAGTAGATTGACATAGTCAATAAGACTTGCACAATGTAATTAACATTGTTTTGTAATACTTAACACTAATCAATAACAAATAGAAATGCAAACTTTGAAATAAGGAATAGTACTTTTTTTAAATAAAATAGATTAAAAAGACAGTAAAATGTATTTTACACAAGTGAAGTAAACATTCTATGAGAAACATAATTTTAAAATATTAGTGTAAATTTAATATGTTTCATTAGAATCAAGCTCTAATATCATAAAAATAAAAAATAAAATTAATGAAATATTGATATACTTCGAAAATATCCCTTTTAATTGTTAATCTGTTCGCATCTGCACGTGTTTTAAGAACCTTGTTTTAAGTCTTGATACTCTAAGGTATTTTGGATAAAACATTTTTCTATTGGAAAATACA